CCTCTCGTGGTTCTGCATCTTCGCAGAACCAATATGTCGGGGATTTTCCAGCTCCAGCTCCTCCGGTCATTCCGGGTATCATGACTGTTGAACAATTGGTTCAACAGCCTGGTCGAGAGCATCTTCTCACTCTCACTCCGCATCCATCGGGCCCACACCAAACATGGTAATATTTTTTTGTAAAATTTTTGTCTTTTTTCATTATATGTTGCTTGATTCTTAATTTTTTCTTTTCAGGTTTGATCGATCGCAGAACGGGATAAGTTCCTTCATCAACCAGATGATGTACTCGGCGCTCAAAAAGGGTTATCCTACCTACACCTCCTTCCCCCGAGAGGATCAAGAGATGTGGTTCCGTCAATTTGCGGTATGTATTTTACAATTTTTAAAGTTTTTTTTTATTAATCTTTGATTTAAATTTCTACTAATTGTGTTCTATTTTTTTCAGCAAGAGTTCAACTGGAATCCCCTCCATACGGCCTTTATCGAAAATGCCTTCACCCATAAAGTCATGGAGAATTATGGGAATCAGGTTTATGAGTGGAAGCAAAAGTGGAAGAAGGGCAAAAAACCGAAATTGATCAACGACACGGTGCGGCTCGAGTTGCAAGAGCATTGGGGGAAGACAGAGACGCAAGGAACCTCTGACACCAATTCCAGCAACCGCAACAGCGACCGTGACGGGAAGGGTCGGTACAAGAACAACTTGGGTGCTTGCAGTATGTCAACTCTTGGGGATAAGCTAGTAAGTCGACTGATTTTCTTTACTTATTTCGTTTTTTAAATTTTAATTTAAATTTTAAAATTTTAATTTAAATTTTTAATGCTTTTTATTAACAAATTTTTTCTTTTTCCAGGCGGAACAGAATGACGATGAGCCGGTTGACTCCCTCGTGTTAATGAGGGAGGCGTATACCGACAAGTCGACCGGAGAGATTTCGGATGCCGTTGTGAGGGAGGTGATCGACTTGGTCGAAACCCAGAAGGAGGAAGAGATCCAACGCCTCTCTCAGCTTCAGTCTGACGACGACGGCACTACTGAAGCTTCCCCTAGCCTTTCTCGAGTTCGAATCAACGAACTTGTTGAGTCGGTAAGATCTTTATTTTAATTATTGTTTTTTTTTTAATTTAATGTTTTCTCACTGTTTTAATTTAATGTTTTTTAGGCGGTTCCTAAGAAGAAAGGCCATTTGTTCGGGTTGGCTCGTCGCTCCAAGTCTGTTCCTTCTACTTCAGAACCGGCTTTCGTTGATCCGGCAATTATGGAGCAGCTACAAAACAAGGATGACCGCATCGTAGCATTGGAGAACCAGAACGCCACTATTCTTACCCAGAACGAGACCATCCTTGCTAGGATGCAAGATCAGCAACAAGAAGTGGAGGAAACGAAGAAGAAGAACCAGGAGTTGTTGGATATGATGCGACGTCTGTTCCCGCATGAGTTTTAGTCGGTTTTTATTTGTTTTTTAAAACTTTGTATTCTACTTTTAAAACTTAAAATATTATAAGATGTTTTTTATTTCAATTTTAGTTTATATTTTAAATTAATTATTATATAAATATTTATTAAAAACAATTAATTATTTTTTATTTTATTTTTTTTTTTTAAATAGGAATTTCCGAGGAAGAGCATCCCTCGGAATATTCCGACGGAACGTTTCCTCGGAATATTCCGACGGAGCGTTTCCTCGGAATATTCCGACGGAACGTTTCCTCGGAATATTCCGACGGCCGCTTCCTCGGAATATGCCGATGACTATCCCCGTCGGAATATCCATCGGAATATCCTGAGGAAGCATCCGTCGGAATATTCCGAGGAAACGTTCGTCGGAAATATTCCGACGATTATGTCCGACGAAGTATCCGTAGGTATTTTTCGATGGAACGTCTTCCCTCGTAATTTCGTCGGAATGTTGGTCCATCGGAAGTCGTCGGAATTTCGTCGGTGTGTCTGACGAAATTCCGAGGAAATATTTTTTTCCGACGAAATAATTCCGACGACCTATTTCCTTGGAATGTCCTCGGAATACGTCTATTCCGACGATATTCTGAGAAAATTGGCCCTCGGAATATCGCTGTTTTCTTGTAGTGTTATTTTCATAGAAACAAATGAAAAAAAAAAAAAACAAATGAAAAGTCAAGAAATCAATATTTGTTTAAGATTTGGGTAGATGAGATAATCTCAAGATAACTACTTGCCACAGAAGAAACAATATAAAAAGGAGAAAAAAATCAAATCTACAGTTTTTTCCACTGATTCTTCACAACAACCGAAACCTAAAACAAACCCTCCAAAGTTAGATGGTCAGACAAAAGACCAAACACAAATATATAAGCAACACTCTCTACACATTATAACACAACACAAATTTCACTTCATCTCCAAAACATGGCGGTTTCAAAGCTCGTATTAGCTGCTACGAGCGGTAAGAGCAGCAAAATACTCTTAGGGCTAAGAGTACTTGCCTTCTTGGCTACGTTATCAGCAGCCATTGTAATGGGATTGAACAAAGAGACAAAGACTTTTGTTGTGGGAAACGTTGGAAATACTCCGATCAAAGCTACGTTCACTGCTAAGTTCCAACACACTCCAGCTTTTGTGTAAGCTTTATTACTTTAAGTTAGAGTTTTGAGATTCCAAATGTTATTTTTAAATTAATAATTTTTAATGATTTTGGTGTTGGGAGAAAAGATATTTCGTCGTGGCTAATGCAATGGTTAGCTTCCACAACTTGCTGATGGTTGCTCTGCAGCTATTTGGAGGGAAGACAGAACTTACTGCTTTTCGTCTTCTCTCCATCGCTATTCTCGACATGGTAAACACAGTGCTAGCTTTACTATGTGGTCTGATTAGTGTGTTGGTTTGGGGCCATATTATCAAATTTGAACGGTTCGGATCGAGTTATCGATTTCTTATAAAACTTGAACGGGTTCGGATCGGGTTATCGGTTTCGGACCTTTTCCCAAGGATATCATCAATTGTTACTTTTTAAACTTTGAAAAATATAAAATAACTTTTTTTATAAATTAGGCACATATATTTAACTAAATTTTGTCTTATATATCATAATTAATTTATCAATAATCTCATACAACACAATCTTGAAAATACATGTATACCCACTTTTATGAGTATATATCTTAGTGTTTATGAATACAAATCACACCTTTCAAAATACATATAGACACACTTTTATGAATAAATTAATATGTTAATGTTTTCTCAAAATCCTTAGTTCTTAACGACTACAGACCAACTACTTGGAGAAGGTGGACTAGTAGATGTCAATGTTTTTTTGTTGCATTTTTAAAATTCAAAGTTAATAATCTTTTCACATTTGTACAGCTTTTGGAGATAGTTTGGAATTATATCTTTCATGCAATGTTAAACAATATTGATATTTGTTTTATTAGTTTAGAATTGAATTTTTAATTTTCTTGCTGACTTGGCTTCTCTTTGGTTTATGCAACAACAAAAAAAAAACAGCTGAATGTGACTCTATTGTCAGCGGCAGCAAACGCGGCGGCGTTCATGGCGGAGGTGGGGAAGAACGGGAACAAACACGCCAGGTGGGACAAAATCTGTGACAGATTCGCCACTTACTGTGATCACGGCGCCGGAGCACTAATCGCGGCCTTCGCCGGCGTGGTCCTTATGGTCATTATCTCCGCTGTTTCCATATCGCGTCTCGTTCAGCCTAATAATAAATGTTCCATCTCAACCGCCGCATCTCCGTCTGTCGCCCCCTGAAAACATCGCAACCTAAAAATTACACAAACACGTGTCTCGTTCTCCTGTTTCTTACTTCTTTGCTTTCTTGAGTGATTTTCTAGCATATAAGCAGCTGCCTTGTCTGTTACTATGTTTGTAAACTTTCTTCTTTTGGTTTGATTTTTCGACTGTACTCATCACCATCCATATATTACATGGTTCTTACCTGTTTGGAAAATAAAGGGAAAATCGCATAAAAAACCTTCAAAGTGACAACCACTTACACTTTAAACCCTGAGAGTATTTTACAATCACTTTAAACACTCAAGTTGACAAATTTAGCATATTAAACCTCCAATCTGGCTTACTTGTACATCAAGTTAAAAATGTGACCGGTACGGTTCAAAATCGATGACGTGTCGGTTTGTGTTTTTTTTTTTTTTTAAAAAAATTACTAATAAATAAATATAAAAATACAGAAAATATATAAATTCATTAAAAACCATTAAAAATTCATTAAAAATTCAAAAAATCATAAAAAAATCAAAAAAATCAAAAACAAATCATAAACATTAAAAATCACAAAATAATTAAAATATTTTATTAATAAAATATTAAAAATAAGAAAAACATAAAAGAAATTATAAAAAATCCCAAAATAAGAAAATTCACAAAATTTAAAATAAAATCAAAAAAAAAAAATTAATATAAGAATAATAGATATAATATATACAAATTCAAGAATAAATAATTTTATTTGTTTTATAAAAAAACGAGAAAACACTAAATATTTTTTTTAAAAAAATCATTATCTTCAAATGATTTTCGTGAACCAAATCAAAGCAAACAAATTAAATTCCAAGTCATTTTGTTCTCATTTTGTTGCTTATTGGTCGAGGTTTTCTGGATTTTATAACTAGATTAATATAGGGTATTTTAATAACTGCTAAAAGACTTGGATTTTAACTTGTTTCCTTTGATTTGGCTCACGAGAATCATTTGATGGTATATATCATATACTTTTAATTTATACGATGACTTGGAATTTAATTTGTTTGCTTTGATTTGGTTCACGAGAATCATTTGAAGATAATGATTATTTTAAAAAAAATATATAGTGTTTTCTCGTTTTTTATAAAACAAATAAAATTCTTTATTCTTAAATTTATATTTATTTTTATCTATTATTCTTATATTAATTTTAATTTAAATTTCATTTTTATTTTATTTAAAATTTTGTGAATTTTCTTATTTTGGGATTTTTTTTATAATTTCTTTTAACTTTTTCTTATTTTTAATATTTTATTAATAAAATATTTTAATTAGTTTGTGATTTTTTAATGTTTATGATTTTTCTGATTTTTTTTATTTTTTTATGATTTTTTCAATTTTTAATGAATTTTAATGAATTTTAATGATTTTTAATGAATTTTTATATTTTCAGTATTTTTATATTTATTTATTAGTAAAATATTTTCTTTTTTTTTAAAAAAACACAAATCGACACGTCATCGATTTTGAACAGTACCGACCACATTTTTAACTTGATGTACAAGTAAGGCAGATTGGAGGTTTAATATGCTAAAGTTGCCAATTTGAGTGTTTAAAGTGCTTATAAAATACTCTTAGGGTTTAAAGTGTAAGTGATTGCCATTTGAAAGTTTTTTATGCGATTTTCCCGAAAATAAAGTATTTTATATCATTGTACTACATTTAGTGTTTTAACGCCGCATACTCGACAAATCAGTTCTAAACAAAATGGTTTTTCTATAACAATTTTCTTTTCAGTTTAGGCGTTTAAATAATCATTTCTCACCTAAAGAAAAATCTTTTATACTACGCTTAACTACCGGTAACGATCTCTTGAACATCTACTACACTACTAGTAGTATACAAATAACTCTATGTAACATCTTGCAGAGTACAAATAAAATAACACCTTACCTTATAATGGTCTTTATGACATTGTTAGGTTCAAACTGTGAATGGTAAATCTCCACGTACGATGTTGATACTTTGTTAATTAATAGTATTATAGAGGTTTGATTCTTGTGGACTGAAATCCATATCTCATCTCTCATGATCATGCTCATATCATGAAGCCTTAATCCGAAAATTGCATGTTTGGGTGAGAAGTAGAAACCCAACGTTAAAAACACCTACTATTTTCTCTTCTCCAAACTCCAAAATCTCCAGTTATAAATAAACTCTCATGAAGCCCATAGACACACACACAATCACAAAGCAAGAGCTCAAAAACACACCAAGCAACAATGTTGAAATTCTCAAATGTTTCTTCTTTCTGTTCACTCCTCCTCCTCGTCTTCTTCATCAGTTCTCAACCTGCACTCTCACTCCGTGTCCCAAAACCACAATCAGAAACAGCATCACCTCAAACCATAAACGATGATTCGTCTTCAATGGGAATGATGGACCATGCAAAATCCATGATTGCTGGATTCTTCAGCCACAAGTTTCCATTAATGGGTTGGCCTTACCCCAAGTACCCACCTTTCACAATGGTTAACCCTAACATCCCAACAAACCCATCTGGAGCTCAAGAGGAATCAGAGAAGTTACCTTCTTCCCCAAGCAACAACAAAGATGGAGGAAACGCATGAAAAGTCGCTCTTGAAAACATTTCTATGGTTTTACATTTCATCAAAATAAAATAAAAATGTATCTTTAACAGTTAAATGGTAAAAGAAACAAGATATTATATCTATCAATCAGCTCAAAACGATTTTAGCTATGACAGATACAGGAATATTCACAATGTGTCCTGACTTTCCAAACAATCCGATTCTTCCAAAACTAGAACTTGAACTGTTCTTTGTCGCATTTAGGGTTATGCTTAGTACTTGAGTTTCTCCGGTTCCTATAGAGAACTGAGTAGGAGATACCTTCATTGAAACACCATAAGGAGGACTCCAACCAACATTGTATGTCTCATTTCCAGCTATGTTTCTCACCGATCTTTTAAAAACTTGCATACCATTAAGGGTTGATACTGTGATCGATGGCAAGTTGAGATCAAAACCACTGATTGTTGAGTTGTTGCTAGAGGAACAGTCAATCCCAGTGTAGTTAAATACCACTGAATTTGAGCCGTTGATTCCACAAAGAAATGACATGTAGTCTTCAAAACCTAGAAGAGAAGAAAAAATACACATTTAATTGAATTGGTAAAAGAATAATTTTAGTTGTGTAAATCAATTTTTTTGAATATAAACTTACTAGTATCGAAAATTAAACCAGGGTCTAAAGCTGCCGTGGCGTTCACGAAACCGCTTCCCATATCAAAAGGTGTTGCGTTAATGAGGCTTTGATCAGGATTTGCATAACTACGCTGAGCCATTATGGGACCTCCTTTATTATCATTAAGAAGAGAAGTTGTTGAAAGTGCAGATGCTATTGCTGAAGGACTAAAGTTTGGGTAAGTCTGTTTGATTAGTGCAGCCACACCAGCTACATGAGGAGCAGCCATGCTTGTACCAGACATCATTGCAAATTTCTCACCTAAAATAGAGTTTAAAAAAAAACATATTGTCAATCCAAAAGTTACTGACTTAAAAAGAAACAATCCTCTGTTTTCACTAGTGTAATGTTTTTACCTTGAAACTCGGTTGAATCTATGGAAGCAGAGCTCCAAGCACCCCAAATAGAGTTTCCAGGAGCTACGAGGTTAGGTTTCAATATGTCTGCGTCGTTGAAAGAGTTGTCTTCTGGATCAGGTCCTCTTGCTGAGTAATACATAACCACAGGAGCTTTGTTGCTGAAGTTAGCATCTAAACCGCCTTCAATAGCTGCAACTGCTCCAAATTCAACAATGTCGTTGGTGGTTGCATCTCTCTCAATAGAAGAGTTATAGTACTTAAGTAAACTCTGCGAAATTAAAACATATAGTTAGTTCATTAGAGACCGCGCAAAACGTTTAAAATAACTTAGTTTTTTTTATACCTTGGAATCTTCTGCAGATGGAATTATGATTCCAGGCATATCCATAGGCGTTGGATTGATCTGAAAACCAAGAACATAGGGGTCCATATAGAACACAACACCAGCTGCTGATAGATTCTTGGCAACATCTATAGCTTGTTTTATCGTCGAAAGGCCAAGAACAAAACGAACAGAGTAGCTACACATGAAGAGGTTCCCGGAGACAAGTTCTTGATTGTAATTTTCATAATCTTGACATTCACCTACATACATATCTTTATCTACCGAAGTACTATTGTTCAAGGCATGAAAAGCTGAGACCATCTTGTACATTTTTCCATCATTAGTAGGACCTATATAAAAGAAAAAAAAATCACACAAGTTTCCATAGTTTTCGATCATACCGCTTATGAAATAAGGACTTACTTGCAAATCCTACTCCTGGAATAGTTACATTGTTCCCTAGGGTTATGGAGTTGGAGTAAACTCTATCATGAGAAGAAGCACCAACTGTGAAAATCCAAGGACTAAAAGATGACATGCTTTTAGGTGATGGACCGGTGTTTCCTGCAGCTTGGACTACAAATATTCCGGTTTTTACAGCGGATAGTATAGCCATGTCTATAGGGTTAAAGAAAGTGGCAACACCAGGAGGTTTTCGATTCGGTGTAATCGAAAGACTCAATATATCTACTCCATCTTGAGCTGCCTGAAAAATTCACACTCATTATAAAAAAAATCTCATATTTGGAGGAAAAAGTGAAACCTCTAGTTACATTTAGTTTGTAAACCTGATCAATAGCTGCAACAACATCAGCAGCAAAGCCTCCAAAACTCTTGTACAATGCCTTGTAGACAGAAATACTGAACATAAAATATTATGTTAGTCTTTGTAAGGATTTTACCAATGATCCAAGTTCTCTGTTTTTTTTTTTTTTTTTTTAACTTACTGTGCACGAGGAGCGATTCCACTAGCATTTCCAAAGCTATGGTTAGATACTATCACTGGAACTCCATGGTTACCCGCAGCAATGGAAGCTGTGTGCCTGTGTTATATAAAAAAAAGTAACAAATTCTAAGCTTCAAACTCTGTTTTATATAACATATTCAACACGTTCACTTACGTTCCATGACCATCTCCATCAAATGGAGAAGCATAATCTTCGGATGAGTTGAAGATCCCTCTAGTTATAGCGGATTGCCCGAAATGCCTAGCTCCAATGAGCTTCTTATTGCAAGATCCTGATGGAAAATCTGGTGTGACTTCACAAACACCTGAAAAATGCTTAGGCATTGGATATGAATGCTTAGAGTTAATGTCATTGTCACTGAAACTAGGATGATTCGGATCGATTCCAGTATCGATAAACCCGATAACAATCCCTTCTCCAGCAGTCTCAAATCCACCTTCTTTGACCCATGCTCCTTCAGGTAAACCCATAAACTGTGGAGTATATGTTGTTGCTGTCCTAACAGAGAAATCCAACACTATGTTTGCTACTTCTCTTCTCGTTGAAAGCTTCTCAGCCTTCAAGAATCAAATGAAAATCATATTTAGTTTAGTCCTTATTATTCAATGATCAAGAACTACATATATACATACCTGTTGTGAGCTAACGAACACAGCAAATCCATTGATTAGATAGTTGTAGCTATAAAGCTTTATATATTTCTCTCCTTTCAGTGTCTTTCTCAAGAAAGAATCATGAGTTTGAGAAATAGATGGTGGTTTTTTTGGCCTCCCCCTCCCATGACGTTTCCTGGAAATGTTTCTATTAAGAAATTCAAATTAATGCAAAGATGGTTTAACTAAAGCTACACACAGAGAATCTAGTGCCAACATTAAAATGAAATAAAATTTTCAGTACCTTGGTTGTAATTTTGGTTTGAATTTAGAAGTGTGGCCATACTTAGCTCTCTGGTGTCTATGTCTAACTTGTTTAACCTCTTCTTCCTCAAAGAGATGGACAAAGGGAGGTTGTTTAAGTGTGACAATGTAAACAGAAGTATCATCATCATCACCATCATCGTCTTGTTGTTGTCCCAAAGTGTTTGACAGAAACCCAAAAGAGATCATCACAAGAAGTAAAAACCCAAGATTCACCAACATAACTCTAGCCATTTTTTTGTTCCTTCTAAATCAAGAAAGTGGAAACAACAGGGCTTTTTGAATTGGCCACCACTAGGTTTTGTACAGAGAATGAATGAGTCATGGAACAACTCAAACGTCAAACCCCACCAAGGACGAGAGATAAATAAAGAAAGCTGCAAAAGAAGAAGAAGAACCCATTATAGCATTCATGGTGAAGTAGTGGAATTGACAGAAACACACAAAAAGGAGCTGCCTTTTCGTGTCGGAGGTCGGTGAAAAAAGAGTGCGTATTTATAAATATTATCTAAGTACCAGTAGAGAGACGCAGGAAGAAGTGAATAATCACACGAGAATATGAAACCTTTTTTCTAGGATTCTGGAGTAATTGTGAGCCAGTTTGAGTGGATACCACGTACTTGGTTCCCACATGTTTAAAGCAGATGACAAGACTCATAAGTGCGATCGAATTAAAAGGACTCCCTTTTTGTTGTTTCTGTTTTCTTTTAATTATTCAATGTTTCTCTTACGGTTTACCGTTTGATTTCTTTCGCTTTTTCTTTGTTTTTTTAACTTCTAACTGTTTAATTATACTAACTAAAAGTCTTAAAATGATTTTGTACTTATTTTATTTAGCATCATGCAATTTAAATTTGCTTGGGTTATAGATTCCTTTTTGCAAAAAAAATAATATATTTTTTCATTTTTATAAAAGATGAAATTTAAAATTATTTATTTATTGTTATTACAAAAAACTCTATAAATTAATATAAAATACACTACGTAACATTTTTTGATAGATCAATTCTTAGTAAAAAATACAAATTTGACAAAAGTTTTATATAAGATCTACGGCCTATCAACTTAAAAATGTTAAATATATATATAAATTTTATATATATATATAAATATACAGTGATATAACTAATATAATCTATTAAAATATGAGTTGTGTTGTTTTCTTATTTTACGATCTATTTCTATTTTCTTATTACATCAAAACTTATGATCTTTTGTGTTAAAACATTAAATGCAATATTTGTTTTGCGTAATTGTTTCTAATAAATTGGCATATCACTAAATGTGAAAACAATTGGGGGCGATTGGTTAGACTAACTATAGAAATTTTACCGTAAAATATGTCTGTATAATTTTTTGATGTACCTGTAAAAATTAAATGAAAAAATATAAAAAATATATATATTCATACATAAATTCTGCAGCAATATTTTTTTCTTTAAAAAACAAGACTTTTTAAAATTCATACATAAATTGATTTATGTGGTTATAGATAGAAAACAAAGATAAAATCATTAGTTAAAGTCCAACCAATCACCCCCAAAAATATCTTCAAGTTCATGCACCAAAATAATATCCACTCAAATAATTGTGGTAAAACAATATGAAAATTTTATAAAACTAAAGAAAAATGATTTGAAATAAAATATACGTGTTTAGAAAATTTTATGTTTCAGACAAAATGAAAATTTGAAGAATATAATTTATATAAAAAATAATGATTATTAAACATAACTAGGGTTTGATCGGCGCGCCCGCGCGGATGTATTTTTTCAAAAATATATTGCTAATTGTTTTTCATATTAGTATTATATATCATATATGTGTCATCATATAATTAATAGTATTTTATACGTACCATAATATAAATTGTTGTTGGGGTTTGTGTATCGACCCGCTCCGCTGCGAATTGAATCATTTTTGATTCGAAAATTTGACACGCAAGTGGAAAAAATTATACCTGAACCCGGCCGCCCTGTTTAAATTAGTGGATAAAAGATTAATATTTTTATAACAAATATATTTCACAAAATGTATTCAAAATCATTTAAACTTTACTTTACATCATATATTTCAAATTGCGGATATTATTTTCTTTTTAAATTCTATAAAAATTTGATAGTTAACGGATTAGATGTTTTTGTATGAGATAACCAACTACGTTTATGATTTGTGGAAGTTTGTTTTGTAGTTTATAAAACAACAAAAATATTCATTTCAATATAGATTTCTATACTTTTTAAAATGTGGTTTTAATATTTAATAATTATTTTGTTGATTAAAAACAAATTTAAAATATTCTTAGGAACATCACTATATAATTAGAAAGTGTCTGATATATTTTTGTAATCAAATCATATAAATTTTTAAGATAATGATTTACATTAAGACAACTGTCCTAGATCTAACATAGAAAATAAATATGTAATGTGAAGATAATAAATTAACATGAGATTAATAACAAAAAGATAACTGTTAAAGATAGAAAATAAAAGAAAATGAAAAATTATCAAATCATATGTGGCTTTAAAAAAGTAATCATTATGATAGATCATCTGCACACAAACTAAAACCAGAATGAGAAAACAAAAAAATTATGTGTCTAAATATAAAGTCTTAACATTCTAAAATAAAATAAATTTACTAAATCCAAAGCAGAAAATAACATCATAAAAATTTAGTGACTTCGTTTCTTTGCTGTTACTGTTTTATATATAGTAAATTGGTAAATGTTTCTAAACGACATAGCTTTCACGAGAAAGTTTGAAATCAATTTTCTTTAATAAATTTGCAAAAATATTATACATAAAATGTAAGATTATTTTTGGATTATCTTGTTGGTAAAGGTAAAGGAGAATATTTCGTGACTAAATTGTACCAGAATTTTTGTTGACAGATTTCACTATAAAAATTAAATATTAAATACATAAAATTATGAAAGAAGATATCTCGTCAGTTGATTTTGCAACAACTATTTGAATGACATGTTCTATGATAAATATTTAAATATAAAATATATTAGATAAAAATATAAATATTTTAACAAATAAACATTGTTTCTTGTTTATTTGTTGTTTACGTCGTACTACTATTAAATTAAAAATAGCAGTCAAGAAAACTTACCAATACAATTCAGTGTTTGAAGGTAGATATTAAATAGTTTGGATTCTTAGCGACTTTTTTTTTCATAGCTATTCCAATGAAATAAATCTGTGACATTAAAATGATCATGATTAGATCTAACCTAGAAAATAAATATGAAATGTGAAGATAATGAATTTACCTGAGATTTATAGAAAATAAAAATGTTTAATTCGTCCAAAAAAAAGACAAATGTTTAGTTCACAGAAAAAAAAAACTAAAGAAAACGAAGATGATCAAATTATATGCTTCAAAAGAAGAATCATTATGATAGTTCATTTGCACATAAAAACTAGAATCAGTAAAATATATATATATATATATATATATATATTAAAAGTTAGCATTTTAAAATAAGATAAATTTACTAAATCAAAAACACAAAAAATAATATCACAAAAGTTCAGTAACTTTGTTTCTTTGCTGAGAATGTCTCATACATAGTAAATTGGTAAATATTTATAAATGACCTAGCTTTCACAAGAAGCTTTGAAATAAAATATACTTTAATAAATTCTCAATAAATATTATGCTAATAAGATAAGATCATTTTCTGAATATTTTGTTAGTAAAGAAAAAAAGAATATCTCGTGAGGAGATTGCAAAAAAAAAATTGGTTGACAGATTTTACTATAAACATTAAATACTAAATGCATGAAATTAATAGAGAATATATTTTGTCAGTTGATTGCAATATTTTTTGAATGACATACTAAAAATATTTTTTTGAATGACATGTTCTACTACAAATATTTAAATATAATATATATAAGAAAAAATCTAAAGCGTAGACTACAACAATTTTTAATTGCCATATCTCACTATAAATATTTAATATGACATGATTTTGTATTAACATTCATAGTTATATAAATTTGATATTTTATTTTCATATATATCATACTAAAAATATTATATTTGTTAGTGACAAAAATTAATTATGTTTGTTATTTACAATTTTAAATAAATAGAAAATCTTTGTAACAATAAATACAAGATCTTCTTAAATATCGATATTCATGTTTCCAAACATACTTATTTTTAATACAGCTATCCATGTTTCCAAATAATTCAAATGTGTATTTCATTTTTAGTAATATAGATAATAATTAACGATTCAACTTAAAAATCTTACATAGAAGAAGTTATGATGTTTCTGTTTTAATAAGATAGATAGGTACTTGTCCATTATACGCGCAGATTTGTATTTAATAACTTTCTTTTCTTTAACAAGATTCTTTCAAATACATCCTCTATTTCATTTTAGTTTTTGTAGAGTGAATTTTTTTAGTTTTAAAATAAATATTATTTTATGATTTTGATATAAAATTGTTAATTTTATTTCCTTTTTATTGTTTGAAATGTCGTTATATTTATAGGTAATGATTTTTTATTTCAAAAATATGTAAAATTAAATATTTTCTTAATCTATGTGCAAAAAACTAAAATGACAATTAAAATAAAACGGAAAGTACATAATAATCGATAAAAGACCGTAAGATGTTTCATACAAAAATCTGATAGCGACAATTTTGGGTGTTACTTTGTTATGTCATATTTTGATGAAGTTCTTGTCAAAAGCTAATGTGTTAAAAACTTTTTTCTTAATTTTTCTCTTCTTTCTAAAGCTTATTATATAGTAGAGCCTATATAAATTAATAAAGTTGAGTCTTTGAAATTTTATTAATTTATAGAAATATTAGTTTAAAAAGTTTTCTTATTTATAAATTTTTAAATATATTTATTTTCTAAAATAAGAAAAATATTTTATTTTCATGTATATAAATTTATTATATTATTTTTTTCAAATTTGAAATTTATATTAATTTTTTGTACTGTTTGGTGTATATAATATATATTTCAAATAATGTAAATATGATTTTAGATATAATATTACTAAATATCATCAAAATATATTAAGTGTTAAGAAAATATAAAAATAATTTCCTTATTAATATAAAAATAAACAACAGAATGATAGATTCTTATTTATATAAAATATTTATACAGATTATTAATTTATAATTTTAATGAGACCATATATTTATATAGACTTTTTTAAAGATTATTATCTTGTTATTTTACCGATTTAT